ACTCAATTCTGGTTGTGAAAATATTATGTGATACTGTTGTCATCCATGATGTACTTACATTTAAGTGGCTGCATCATCTTTCCAGTTGGAGGAACTCCGTGCTGATATTGTAGACTTGAAGGAAATGTACCGAGAGCAAGTCAACTTGCTTGTGAATAAGGTGCTTTTTTTTTGTTTCAAAAGTTTGTATCATCATTTCCTTTTCCTTTTAAAAACTGCATTTATTATAAGTAAGCTTTACTATTTATTATTCTGCTGATTCTACATGCTATGCTAAAACTTACCTTATTGTGTTCGACAGATCCAAAGAGTCTCTTCCTAGGCCGGTAACTCGTGAGGAAATTCTTTATTATTATTATTATTTTGTGATATTCCAATATATTATGTGCGTGGTACAGTTAAAGTAGATATAGTTAATGCCATGGCTATTCAATTTCCCCCCTTATATTATCATTCATTGGAGATTGCTTTATGCAAAGGTTTGATTCCCGAGAGATTCAGGGAGCACATGTCCTTGTCAAACCCTACAATGTATTATAATTTTATGCACAGAACAAATCATAATGTGACAAATTTGTTTTACCTAATTTTTTATATCATAGTATATTATATGTGTATACGCGTGTGCTTGCGTACATGTGTGTATATATATGTTCTGTTTATATTCATTATAATAATATATATTTTCCTATGCATTCACCCTCTGTTGTAGTATACAAGATCATAGAAGTATTCTTTGACTTAAATGAATTTAAATAGAGCATACTATGAATTCGTTGAGTAGTCTCAGTGGTGGTTGAGAAGAGTGTTATTCTCTTTTGAAATCTTAGGCTTGAGCAGGTGCGGCAGAGTGTGTATAAATTTTTATGATTAAGAAAGATGATAAATATATATTAGTTATTACCTTAAAATCATTTTAGATTATATTAAAAGTTTATTTTTTTACTCAATTTGATGTCAAAAGATTTGACTTGACTCGTAATGTTATAAATTATATTTAAATAAAAAATTAAATTTGAGTCGAGTTATAAAATAAAATTCAAATAACTCGAAATTTTTAATAATTAATTTATTGATTTTTAAGTTTGAGTTAAGTCTTTCAATTTTTTATGATATATGTATATCACAATATTATAAATATTCATAATTAAATTTAAACATAAACTTGAATTGATTTGATTAAATTCAGATTTCATAAATTTAATTTAACAAAATTTCAAATGAAATTTGAATTATGAAATAAAGAATCATCAGTTTAAATAATTTAATTTTTTAAACTCGATTTAGTGGAATGTTCCCCCTTAATTTGTATGTACAAACAGTACAATGGCAAGATAAACAAGATAACGTTAACGTAAAGTTTGTGATTTATCTTTTTTATTATTATATTTTTGGTAAACAATTAAAATGCACGTGGAAGCTTATAATCCTTTCATGGCAACTTCTCCATCAAGATGCATCAAAGTTCGAAGAGAAAGAAACATAGCTTAAACCCCCCGTTTAAATTCCCTTTGATAAGCCAAACATTATTACAAACGGCAACAACAAAATTGGGCATCAGTCATTGAGTTTATCAAACCGATAAGGTACTTCCTGTTATCTTCACTTCTTCTTCTTCTTATTACTATATTATATGCTTTATTTGTCTCGTTCGGGTGACCCAGAAAATATAGAAACTGAAAAACGTTTGAGAAATTTAATTGATGAAAATGTCAAAGACAAAGAAACCCAAGTTTTCGATTCGTACTAGAGACTAAAAAAACTTATTTTTTGACTTTAAGAAATAGGGAGTTATTAGCTTCAGTTGAATAAATCGACCCCTTTTTTAAGTAATTCTTTTTGGGAGGTTTTCGGCTTTGGGTTAAACTGAATCATTCTATTATAAGAAAAATGGTGTCGATCTGCTAGGTTTTTTTTTAACTTTTCCTCAAGCGAAGTGTTCGATAAAATGCCTCACTGACGAAAAAGAAAGGCCCGCAAATTCTGATGATGTTTTCATTTCATGGGTGATTTTGGTAGTTTGTTCGAGATTGCAGTAATTTATTTTGATAATGGAAAACAAAGATGATGAAGTGAAGAAGGCACAAGTTGTAGAAGCCAGGGCAAGAAACATCAGCCACAATGTGCGTTGTACAGAATGTGGGAGTCAGTCCATTGAAGATTCACAAGCGGATATCGCAATTCTCCTCAGAAAGGTACACTACTTCATTCTCTTACAAATGATTATGTAAAAAGCCAAGGTATTTACTTCAGCTTTTGCAACCAAATGAAGTCACTGCTTGTTAACAAAACTTCAGTGATGATCTCATTAAATAAAATAAAAATAATTCATTCTGGAAGTTGGTGGAACTGGTGATCAAGTTTTTCTCCACGTGATGACATTGTTACTTGAATTGAACTATTAGTTTATGGGTTATTGGCTTGCTTTTAGGCTTTGTTGTCTTAGTCATTTCTTTTTGTAGTTTCTAATCTGTATATACACAATTCAATCATTTCTTGTTCTGTGTCAATGAACTTCTACATGTTCCGGAAACTCCAAACTCTCTGCATTCCGTGAAAATCTAATGTTGCCTACTCTTTAATAATTAAAACTGTAAACTCTTTTGGATTGCAAAATCAACCATTTTGCTAGCTTTCTCTTCTGAAGGTATCATTGTTCTTTTCCTTCAATTCTTAGTGTCATGTCATATTTGTTCATCTATGGTTATCATGTAGAAACTTTCTAAAAGAGAAAATTCCAACTTTTATTTTGTTATTGCAGTTAATTCGTGATGAGATTCAATCCGGAAAGAGTGACAAAGAGATTTATAAAAAGCTTGAAGAGGATTACGGTGAGACGGTACTGTATGCCCCAAAGTTTGATCTGCAGACTGCAGCCTTGTGGCTATCGCCGGTTAGTTCCAAATCTTAGGACTTCCTACATGATCTTTACCCGTATTTCGTATTTAACCTAAAATAGAAGGGTTTCGGGGACAGCTTCTTGTTTCAGGTGCTGCTGCTGGGGTGTGGGCTTACAAAAAGCACAGACAAAAGACTAATGTGCACATCATGGCTCTGGACCTTGTTAGAGGTGTTCCATTGACCCCCAAGGAGAAGGAAACTATGCTAGACTTGCTCACACCTCCTCCTCCACAAGGTGTCACTGCTTCCTCCTTGTGGAGCCGGTTGCGAGGTCGGTGATGTTCTTTAATTTTCCTTCTCAAGTTTATTTTGATGGCGAATAATGTACACACTGATGAGTGTCGTGGTTGATTCTGAAAATCACTTTTGCATCCAATGACGGATGTATATGGGATCCGGTCCACCCTGTCGAATTTTTTATAGTTTTCCATTTTACTAATGGTTAGTTTTCCATTTTACTAATGATTCAAACCCTGAAATTTTATTTGTGTTCACCCCATACGAAAATTTTATATTATTAATATATATATATATATATGTCCAATCTCAAAAATATTTCTAGATCCGCCACTGTTTGCATCTGTTCTAATTATCTCACACCAAGTATAAAACCCAATTATGTTTTACAAATTGAAGTTGGTAAACCTAACTTGTGTCAAATATATCACGTGGATCATATTCTAGCTTGTGTTTATTATATTATATTCATATTTATTAAAATGTTTAAAAAGTATTACGTCGAGCAAGAGAGTGGGTGAAGGTTGGCTTATTACAGGGTCAACAAGAAACGGTTAACAACAACTTCTCTGTTGGACATTTCTGTTTCTGTTCGATAAAAAAGAATAATCCTTGGTGATTGGTCCAAGAAGGAAACAGAAAAGACAAGATTCTTTCGTTAATAATGGGACTAAAATTTGAATTCAAACGTATTAAAATAATCAACTTGTAAAATCTATCTTAATTTATTGAGCAGACGACTTTAGAAATGTGATTAAAGGGTACTAAAGAATTTCTTTTATATAGGGTATATTATTGTTGTGTTTTTATTTTTAAAATTAAAGGACACATAACCAGAATACAGTCTTTGTTTGTGGTGTACTTTTTCATTGTATGCGTATATAATAATAATCCATATGTTATATCCATAATAATACTTAAAGGGTTATCATTTATAGCACTAGCGGTAGAAAATATATTTCACAAGTGGGATTGTAATATTGGTGGCTAGAATCTGGAAAAATGTTCTTTTTCTTTTTGTGAATTTTAAGTTAGTCAAATTGAGTTATCTAATTTTTCTTTCAATTGAGTTATAGATACCACTTAGGTCCATGATTGTTTCAAAAATATGCACATTGATTCTTCTCAACAACAAATAAAAATTCAAAAATTTAAGAAAAAGAATAAAAATTCCAAAACGTTTTAAAAAATATTTAAAAGATTAAAACTATATGTTGATTTGAATAAAAAAAACTATATATTGATTTACCTTTTTTATTTTCTCTTTGTTTTCTTATCTTGTTTTATAATTTCAAGAATATTCTTTTCAACAATTTTGATATTGTCGGGTGTTCTTCGCCCGTCGGCAAAGCATTATTTTATCATAACTTTAAAAAAATATAATGTATTACTAAATTTCCAAAAAGTTCAGCTTGACTCCTCGGCTAATACTATACTCTTAAAACAAATTTAAATAACTGAAAAATAAATCCAACAACTCCATGATTGTCGAACATTATTAGCAGAGCTCAATATAAAAGGAAAATCAGACTACTTTGATCAACCATACCTGGAACTCAAACAGCTGACCAAAGACTGTTATTCTTCTATCGTTTTCTTTCTTATTTGAATCTCTGGATTCGTAGCCTTTGTTCCAAGTGTTGAGATCATATCATATCAGGTAAGCTTAATCTGTTAAAGAAAATCGATTGTTGCAAATAATGAATTTTGATTGTTCTTCCGTACGGGGCCGATTATGAAATATCGGGTTAAATTTACCATAATTTTTCTTCTTAATCATTTCTTTTTTTCTTTTTAATATCTAGTTGAATTTCTTGACCACTTTCTGAAATTTCCGTCGCTTCAATTTGCTTAACATTCGTCATTCTTGATGGTGTCATTTTGAAGTCAAACGTGGATGGAGGTGGAAACGTTGGCTCAGATTTCCCGGGAATGGATGCAGGAAGCTGCGACGAAAGGGACGGCAAGGGTGGAGCTGGAGAACCGAGCTGCTCAAGGATTGATAATTGATCATCTCCAAAAGGGATTTATGCGCTTTACTTTCGTCATACCGCCTTCAGCATCAGTTAAATTCTATTTCTCTTATCCAAACCTTCTTTTGACCAACATTATTTATACCGCGTGATCATCTCTTAATTAATTCCAAAATGTGTGCGTATAATAACAGGATGCAAACGGGAACTGGCAAGCGGGTGCAATAGCAACGATCATGGACATTATTGCATCAATGGCCATCTTCACTGAAACTGGAACAGCTCGAGGCCAAGTCACGATGGATTACAACATTTCATATTATTCATCAGCCAAGATTCAAGTATATCCCCCCCCCCCCCGAAAAACTTACAAATTCCGTTTACATATACATAAACTTTTCAATTATTCACCATCAAATATGTCTAAATTGCAGGAAGAAGTAGAAATAGATGCAAAAGTTATAGGGAGCAAAGGAAAGCTTACCTCAGTGGCAGTGGAGGTCAGAAGGAAATACGACGGAGAGTTAATTGCTGTTGCTAAACAGTGGACTGCTTCTAACCAATTTAAGGCATCATGGACGATCCCACGAAGCAAACTTTAACAACTATGTTATTTACCTTTTTTTTTCTCCATTTTGGAAACATATATAAAAGGAATAAATATTACAATTTTTAATCAATTTTTGTGTAATTACACATACAAATTTTATTTTGATTCAATTATATATATATATATAAACTTAAAAATTGAGGGTTAATTTTACCATTGTACCTATTTTTTTTTAATAAAGTGGAATTTAAACTATTTAAAAATACTATGATCTCAATCTAACCACCGAGTCAAAGCTTTATTAGTTATATTCAAAGTAATAAAGTTTGTTTTAAAATATATCATATAATAAACTCAAATAATAATATTAACCTTACAATATTATTTAATAATTTTTTTATTGAAATCGTCAATAATGTTAATTATTTGAAATAATTAATGAAGTAAAAACTAAATTATAATAAGTTAAAATATAAGGACTAAATATTGAAATTTAGATACAGTAGAAGTACCGGAACCAAAAGTTGACAAAATATTCAAATGCCCTGCTTTCCTCGCCTCTGCCAATACTCTTAAAACAAATTTAAGGAAAAGAAAAAGAAATCCAACGATCCCTAATTGCTCAACCATATCGAACGGTCGATATAAATGAAAATTCAAACTAAATTGGTAAATCATATCTCAAACTCAGAGAGAAAATCTGATCAAAGCGGTTATGCTTCCCAAGGATTCGTAAGGGGAGAAAAGGTTGTTGTTTCCTTTCTTCTTTGATTCTCTGGAAGGAAGGAAGGCCCCCCAAAAGCTGCAGTTCGTAGTTTTTGTTTCAAGTGCTGGGATCAGATCAAATCTGATCGATTCAGGTGAGCTTCAATAAAGTGCTTTTAATTCAACTATCTTAAGGAAAATAAGCATACATGCTTCATCTGTTTCATAAATCAATCACTGCAGATTATGAATTTTGATTGTTTTTTATTCGAACCTGATTATGAAATCGAGTTTGTCAATGATCAAAGTTCAAATGTACAGTATATTTTAAATGAAAAATGTCATTTGATAGCTTGTTTAAATTCCTCGAATACAAGTGGATTTCGATTGCTCAATTTGGTAATTGTTGTACATAAGGGTTACAATTAACATTTTTAATCGTTTGATTTTTGAAGATTAGCGTCCATTGAAGAGGAAAAGTTGGCTCAGGTCCCCCAGAAACAGATGCAGGAAACTCTGAAGAAAGTGATCGGAACTATGAAGAAAATGATGAAAAGTGTGGAGCTAGAAAATCTAGCTCTCGAGGTTTGCGACGCGATTGTGTTCATAAATGACATGTGCGCTGTACTTTAATGATATCGTCTTCTCTATCAGTTAAATTCTATTTCCCTACCTCTTGTTCTTCATCCATTTATTTCTTCAACCTTTCTTTCTGTTAACCATTAAATAATTAAACACGAGATTATCTTTTAATTGGTTTATAAAATAAGCAAAAATTTCAAAGCTACTACGTATATATAAAACTGCATCCAACTATAATAGGATGCACATGAAAATTGGCAAGCAGGTGCTACAGCGACGGTCATCGACATGATTGCGTCAGTGGCGATTTACACCGAAACTGGAACAGCTCGAGACCATGTCACGGTGGATTACAGCATCTCATATTTTTCATCAGCGAAGATTCAGGTATATACTCTCTTTTTCTCTATAAATTTTAAAATTCCATTTACACATATAATTTTTAATTATTCACCATATATATATTGTAGGAAGAAGTAGAGATTGAAGCAAACGTTACAGCATCTCATATTTTTCATCAGCGAAGATTCAGGTATATACTCTCTTTTACATCGATCCTCGCTACTCATATACAAGAAAATCAAATGAATTTTTGAACGGATTGAATTCAATCCACTGACTCAACTTGCAACATTTTCCCCAAAAAATTTTGTAATCATTCTGGAAAAGAAAACGATTACAATGAAGATGGATTGAGATGCAAGAAAAATATTCTTTAATTTTCTTGATCCTCAAAGCTTTTGTAACTCCTCCATCTCCAATTCAAGTTAGTTTCTTTCAATCTCATTCCTCCTCTGAAATATACCCTTCATCGGCAACCTCTGTGGTATCCATTGGACCTTGTGCAAAATATGTAATAGAATACATTGACAAGACTCAACCCTGCAAGAAGGAAATAGTAATAGTCGAAACGAGCCCCGTTAAGGTTGTCGGCCACCCAACTGGGTTTCCTGTTTCTCGAAGTAGTCTCGTTCACAGTGTTAAACAGAGCATAGCTCAACAAATTTGCCACTGCCATTGATAGGAAGAACAAGTAATTCCCGATGCTTGACATGGTTTTCGGGAACTCCCGATGATAGAACTCGAACTGTCTGAGTGTATTCAACGCCGAAGCTATACCGGTGCATTAAGCATCTTCGCATGCCCCACGATGTTTGCTTAATCTGATGTTCTCAACGATTGCCGTGAGTCCCATGTCTATTACAGAGAGAAATAAACAGAGTCCCATCCTAGTGTTGACACTAATATATACTTGTTTTCCCTTCATCTTTGATGCTATTGGGATTATCACACGCTCGTAAACAATAACCCAAAGCACGGAAGTGATGTAAAAGATGACGGTTAATGAGGCTGCCGGCATATGGAAGCCGCTGAAAACGTGTCGGTTGATGGTTGGAGAACTGGGAACGAGTATTGGTTTCCAGCAATTGCGATTACTATCCCCGTAGACCATACTGGGATCACTTTTAAAAGCGCTTTAAGCTCTTCCACTTTCTGGACAGTGCAAATTCTCCACGGATTTAAGGCAAATCCATCGAGGCTTATCTCCTCTTCGGCGTTTACAATAATGCAAGCTTTGTTCATAAACTTTAATCTATCACTTGGAACGGTAATCTCCGACTCCTTTTCGTGATGGTAACCCGAATTTAGAGTCGGAAACGGGAGGCTTCTTTTCTTATATGAAACCCAAAGAACTTATGCGAAACCCGTACAGAGGCTGGTGCTGGCTTTCTTTTTAATATAGAAGGGTGAAACAATGTAAAACGCCACAGTGGACAACAACATTAGGACTGCACAAGTACCATATGTTGCGGAAGATGACTATCGGATAAAGTAAAATTGCAATTGATAATTTGATAAAATAAAAATGAAGATAAAAATGACACAAAATTTACGTGGAAAACCCTTAAATAATATAGGGTAAAACCCACGGACAACGGTAGAAGAATTTCACTACGAGAAAATAGGAATTACAACTTTTCTCGATCTAACAAGGAGAAAACAATGATAATTCTCTCTTGATAAAAAGGATAAAACAACTCTTTAAATTCTCTAGTATTGGGAGAACGCTAGAATAATTTGGAATTAAATCCACTGAAATAATAAGTCAAAAAGGGGTTATAATTGTTGAAAATGGGCAATGGTAAGTTACTCAATTTAGTCATTGTACTTTAGGGTATTTGCAAAGTTAGTCTTTAAGCTTCAATTATAAATTCCCTAACCCATTTAGCTTCAAAACCATCCCAAAGCATTCTAGTTTTTTCCAATAGTAGAGAATTTAGAGAGTTTTCTTGAGAGTTGTTTTTTCCTTTTTATCAAGAAAGAATTATCATTGTTTTCTCCTTGGTAGATTGAGAGAAGTTGTAATTCCTATTTTCTCATAGTGAAATTCTTCTACCGTTATACGTGATTTTTACCCTATATTATTTAGGGGTTTTCACGTAAATTTTGTGTCTCTTTTATCTTCATTTTTATTTTCTCAAATTATCAGTTGCGATTTTGCTCTATTTGATAGCCGTCTTCCGCAACAATTGGTATCCGAGCAGATTTGAGTGTGTAATATCTGCTTATTGTCTTTGTGGTTGCCACCAAAAGGTGGATCCTCCAACATAAGAAAGTAAGAATGTATTATACATTCTTTGAAGGTTCCAGAGAACTATTTACGATAGTGAAATAGTGGGAGCTATCCGTAATAGAAGCTATGACAACGAAATTTGATATTAAAAAGTTCAATGAGAGAAATTTTTCATTGTGAAAATTGAATATGATGGTCATCCTGAGGAAAGACATTTGTCTAACAGCTATCAATGAAAGGCAGGTAGATTTCAAAGATGACAATAAATGGATCGAAATGGACGGGAATGCTATGTAAAACTTTCATCTAGCATTAGCATATGAAGTATTGTCAAGCATCGAGGAGAAGAAGATATCTAGAATGATATGGGATAAAAAAAATCCAAGAAATGCAAAATTTTGGGGTATGTTGATGGTGTAAAGGAGTATCGCTTGTGGGATCTCACTGCCCGCAAAGTGATCACCAGCAGTGATGCTATCTTTGTAGAAGATAAGCTACAAAGAAAAGAAGACGATGGTAGCACTGAAAAGTCAGAGACACAGATATATGTGGAAAATGAGGTTGAACAAGGAGATTCTTCTGAAGCAGAACCAGCACATGATGAACAAGAACCGGAGAGTTCTGAAGCTCCAACAACTCATCAATCAAATCGTGTGAGAAGACGTCCCAATTGGCACTCAGATTATGTTATAGAAGGAACTATTGCATATTGCCTTTTAACAGAGGACAGTGAGTCATCAACATACCAAGAGGCAATAAACAACTCAGATGCTTCACTGTGGATGATGGCGATGCAAGAAGAAATTGAAGCGCTTCATAAAAATAATACATGGGACCTTGTGCCACTACCACAAGGAAGGAAGTCAATTGGTAACAAATGGGTCTTCAAAATCAAGCGATATGGAGACGATCAAGTTGAGAGGTATCGTGTAAGACTGTTGGTCAAAGAATATGCTCAAAAAGAAGATATTGATTTTAACGAAATCTTTTCTCTTGTGGTTCGACTAACAACAGTGTGAGTAGTTTTGGCAATGTGTGCTACATTGGACTTACATCTAGAGCAGCTAGATGTTAAAACAGCTTTTCTTCATGGAAATCTTGAAGAAGAAATTTATATGCTCCAGCCTGAAGGTTTTGAAGAAAAAGAAAAAAAAGAACTTGGTTTGCAGGTTGAACAAATCTTTGTACGGTCTAAAGCAGGCGCCGAGGTGTTCGTATAAGAGATTTGATTCTTTCATTATGTGTCTTGGATAAAACAGACTTAATGCAGACCATTATGCTTATTTCAAGAGGTCTGGTGATAACGATTTTGTTATATTGTTGTTGTATGTGGATGACATGTTGGTTGTAGGACCCAACAAATATCATATTGAAGAATTGAAGGCACAACTGGCTAGGGAATTTGAAATGAAGGACTTGTGATCAGCAAACAAGATTCTGGGGATGCAAATTTACCGAGACAGAAGTGATAAGAAGATTTGACTTTCAACAAAGAATTACTTGAAGAAGATCTTGTCACGATTCAACATGCAAGATTGTAAGTCAATTTCTACCCCTCTTCCTATTAACTTCAAATTATCCTCCAGTATGAGTCATAGTAGTGAAGAAGAGAGGATGGAGATGTCTCGAGTACCATATGCATCAGCAGTGGGAGTGGTTAGTCGGTACATGACGAATCCAGGCAAAAAGAATTGAAATACAGTAAAGAGGATCCTGAGATACATCAAAGGGACCTCAAATGTTGCATTATGATACGGAGGATCAAACTTACTTATCAATGGGTATATCGATTCTGACTATGCAGGGGATTTGGATAAAAGCAAATCTACCACAAGATATGTGTTCAAAGTTGCTAGTGGAGCTGTAAGTTGGGTTTCAAAATTGCAGTCAGTTGTGGCTACATCCACAACAGAGGCAGAATATGTAGTAGCAGCTACACAAGCCAGTAAAGAAGCAATTTGGTTGAAGATGCTATTGGAGGAGCTTGGGCACAATCAAGAGTATGTCTTATGTTTTGTGACAGTCAAAGCGTCTTGCATCTAGCAAGGAATCTAGCATTTCATTCAAGGACAAAGCACATACGAGTTCGGTACCACTTCATTCGTGAAAAGGTGGAAGAAGGGACGATAGATATACATAAAATCCATACCAAAGACAACATAGAAGATTTCATGACGAAGGCGATCAATACTGATAAATTTACTTGGTGTCGATCCTCTTGTGGCCTGTCAGAGACGTAAGCAACATTAAGGTACAAGGTAGAAAGAATGGTGTAAAGATATGATTGTTCCAATCAAATCTTCAAGTGGGAGATTGTTGAAAATTAAAATCCACCAAAAGGTGGCATTAAACACCATATCCGATATTCCATCCATAGACTTGTATGATATAAACAACAATAGTCAAACCAAAGGAGCCACCGAGGGATGCTGCAGCATAATATCAACTGAAATAGCTCTCCAGGATCTTTTCATTCTTGTTGGTCACCGAATGGCATGGAACAAGGCCTAATGCCTTCGGCTCCGATGGACTTGAAAAACAAGGCAAAGATTAGGATAGCCATCTGGCCTGCTGTGGCGAATTTGCAGCTGTGAGTTGAAGTGTTACAACTTACAAGGAGGAGGCCTTGCCTGTGGTATAACTGTTGTTAACCATAATATTGCAACTCCCTGAAACATGTAAGTAAGACCAGTTAAGCATAACAACTATTGTAGAAGACAAAAGAAAGAGGTAACTAATTACCAGGAAACTGGCAATCGAACCCAAGCCAATGGTAGCTAAACGACCCATATAAGAATCAGCGAAGAAAGAACCCAAAATAGGTTGTGTTTGAAAATCTGAATTTCGTATTCTTTCAATTCTGGTTGAACATTTCATAAACTGAACTTTGCCATTTACGAATCATGGGAACAAATTTTTTCTTAACATATCTCGTTTTAATTTATTCGAAACATATACCTGAATTATAGTTTCTTTAGATTCTACAATTTATGCAGTTGAAAACTTGAGAAATCAACTATGTTTGTTTTTCCACACCAAATAATTGTATTCAAAACTATGTCTTAGACGTAGAGATAATAGAATAAAATATTTGTTTGAAATTCAATTTCGTACGTGTAAACGAAAAACTTCAATGATACCTGTTGAAACATAAATTTACTCACTCTTTACATTATGTTGGGGGAGTAATTACTTATTGTTCATTTTTATCTATTTCTTTACATCCAAGGTAAGTTTTTAGTAACTTTATTTTTTATATTTCGTTTTTTTTAATATGAGATGAGACATAAGTCGTTACATCAAGAAGGTACTAATCGATCATGGCGTAGTTTCCTCCTATCTATGAATAATAGGGGCATTATAATTTCTATCCTAACAAAAACATTAAATTCATGTTGTCGAACTAAAAAGCAACATAGTATTAAGTAGCACAAGCTTTGATTTCTTTAACAGTGCACACTGAAAACATTATTGTCAAACAATTTTTGCAGTAGAATTACAAACACAAAAGGACAGGAGGAATTGATGAATGAGGTCAAAGAGCCTTAAGCATATCGTCAGCGCTGGAAACTTTTAGCTGCCCACCGGTTTCCATGTTAGCAACTTTGACTTTAAGATCATCAACCAGCAGAGCAAACCTTTCTGATCGAATCCCAAAACCTTTGTCCGACCCATCCAGCTCAAGCCCAGGAGACTTCATGTAAGCTGCTGAGCCATCAGAGAAGAACTTTAAATGCTTGTTTTCTGGGTATGACTTTGCCCATGCCTTCATCACATATGGGTCATTAACTGCAACACCACACCCCACACAATTAAGGCCACTTTCATTTTCCACTCATCTTTTACTATAAATGAATTCAACAAGTGGAAGTTATAAAGTTTATTATTACCACTTAGTACCAAGATTTCACTTATGCCTTTTGACTTCAATTCCTCTGCCTTTTCAATGAAACCTGGAACATGCTTCAAGCTGCATGGAATTGAGAAAACAAAGACAATATATGGGAGTTAAGGAGCCACTTGCAAAATTTTCTATAATAAATACAATACATAATATAATTCTATACTTGGTTTACCTGCATCCAGGAGTGAAAGCACCGGGAACTCCAACGAGAATGACTTGTTTACCGGCAGCAAGGGAGTGTAGAGACACGTTTACAATCTGATGAGCCTCATTGCTGCGTTATTTTCAGTGATCGATTCGTTGGTGGGGTGAGGGAATGGACCGGGGTGGGTTTTGCATGTTTACATACTATCAGTATATATATATATATATATATATATATGGATGAAGGATGGTTGTTGGATGGAAAATAATCAAATGGTAGTTGTACCTATGAGTAAGACAATGGAATATGGACTAATAATTAATTTGTTTTCGTTTGGCTCGCAAGAAAAAGTGGGGACGGCTGCGTTGTCCCTTTGTTTATTATCACCCATTTGCTTGTTGTTTTGGTTAGAGAAAGAATATGAATTAATAATGTAGCAAATGATCTTTTTATTCTAGACATTAAATAATTGGAATCATTGATTTTTGTATGCTTGGAATGTTGCAAACCCAGAAAGAATTATTTAATGGACAATTAATTTTTTTTCAAAAACACTGTTTGCTGTGATAAACAGAAAGATTTCAGACTGATATTAACAAAATATGTATTATAAATACTTTTTTTTATTAAAATTTATTATAAATACTTAGGCATCAAGCAACTTAAAACACAGTTTAAAGTAAACCAAAGACTCAATCAGCAGACTCGTGCCAAACCACTATTTACTGCAATGAAGCTCTGATTAAAAAATTACAATGTAAAAGAAGGTAAAGAATGGCGTATGGAAGAGATTAGAGAAGAAATTTCACACAAATGATATGCATAAAAGATGTTATATGGTTTCAGAAACTATATTTCCTACTTACTAAACACCAGCATACTTATTTTTTGCCAAATTTGAACTGCAACGGTAATTCTAAAAACATTCCTCAAACTAACAACAATCCATCAGTATGATCTTCTTCTGCAGTCCTTTAACCTGGTTTTAATTTTAGACAACTCATCTTCCAGGCAAGACCTTAACTTTTGTTGCTTGTCGACCAGTTGGTCCATAAGCCCAGGCACAGAGGAGGTAATAGAATAGATTGATGAAACTCAATATGGCAAGAACCCAATAGTAGTTGTCAATGCGACCTCTGTTTATGTTACTCGAGACCCAGCTGTCCTTACCGCCTTTTGAAGTAATACCATCGATTATGCTCACGACAACACTAGCGAGTAAATTTGCCACAGCCAATCCAAGTCCGAAGAGTGCAGCTGCAATGCTAGACATGCTCTTGGGTAGCTCTGAATAGAACAACTCTGTCTGCCCTATTGCAGTGAACGCCTCAGCAAAGCCATTTAAGCAAAACTGTGGCACAAGCCACATGGCAGACATTTTCAAACTGCTTGAGGGTTGTTCTGAAATCCATCTCGAATTGCCTCCCTTCGTCTTGCGTTCTCGACGATGGCTGAAACTACCATGGCAATGCATGTAAGAAATAGCCCACTCCCATCCTTATTTTGACACCGATCCTTACTGGTTTACCCTTGATCTTCGATATCATAGGGAGAATCACACGATCATAAAGAATAACCCATAACGCAAGAGATGATGTTGAACATTCCATAAGATCCTGCGGGAATCTGAAACTTTTTTGTAAGATGCCTGTCCATAGAGCTAGCTTGAAGCACAGGGAATGTGTTTTGGCTTAAATTAATAGACATTACGATCCCTGTAGACCATAAAGGTAAGACCTTAACAAGTGCTTTTAGCTCTTCCACTTGGTCTACTGTGCAAAGACTCCATGGATTTGAGGCTGAGCCGTCCGGGGCAACATCTTGTTCTGGGTTTCTGATGATGCAAGCTTTGTTTAAAAATCTAAGATCAGAACAGCAACATAGAACTTAAAACATGTTACTCAAAAAATTCAATCACAACATTAAATCGTAGAGGCTAATGTGATTATGGTTTGTACCTTAAATTGTCAGTTGGTTCAACAATATTTGAATCTCTCTTGTGATGGTAACTTCCAGTTGAATTTGGGAGTGGAAATGCCAGATTTCGGTTTTTATAGGCGACAACAATTACTTGTACAAATCCAGTAAGCAAGCTTTTGCTTGCCATCTGCTTAATATATAAGGGAGAAGCAAGGAAGAACACAAGTGCGGAGATCAACATTAAGATTGCTGGAAGTCCAAAGCCTACTCTATATCCAAATTGATCTTGAATGTAAACAATGCCTGTCAGTGCAATTAAAACAGAAATAGCTGCAGAAGCATAATACCAGCCAAAGAAGCGCTCTAGGACCCTTTCATTTTTCGGATTATCTCTCTGGTCCAATTGGTCGGCTCCAAATGCCAAGGAGCATGGTCTAACACCACCAGCTCCAATGGAAATGAGAACAAATGAGGAAAACAATAAAGTCATCTGTCCAGTTGTTGGAGATCTGCATCTTTGGATCATTATGTCGCATGGTGGAGGCTTTGATTGTGGAACCATGGCTGTTAACCATAAAATTATCATCCCCTGAAGTGTTCGAGGTCAGGATTATTCGCAAGGAAGTTCATGATAAAATGGAGCAAACCAGTGGTTGAAGTTAGTTATATTATACGATGAAAACATTGAAAAATAGGGAAATTTGATAATGTATTGGAAATGTGAATAAGTGCCTAAATCTATCAATCAAAATAATTGAGATCATACTATATTTAACCAGACAATAAAATGGAAAATTGTAATCACATGACAGTTTCATACCGGTCTTGTGGAATTGCAAACTAAGAGATGCTAACTAACGGACCACAACTCCATTAACAAATTTCTAAATGAACTTAGAAAGCAAACTAGCACTGTTTCAATTTGGCGCTAGAGGAGAACCTAATTATATGATTCTTAACCCAAATAGGACACCCTCCAACACAGGGATAGGAAAACACCAGGTGACCAGGCTGGACCAGTGTTGAAAAACGCTCTACATACAGATTTTCTTCACCGACCTTAATAATAGAGTCAGATAATAAAAAGTAACTTTACACAAAACTGGTCCAGTGCTGATCGCATACGTTTCAATTATTGTTGTGCTTTGGTAAAAGTGTAGTCAGAGGTGGTATCAAGGTCTATCAAAGGATACTTTAGAGTCAGGTTGGTCCAATGGCTGATAAGCATGAAATGTCTATCCTCTTAGAAGCATTTTGGTCAGCACCTATGATCCAAGGCGCAATTCAGATCAACTAGAATAGCCTAGCTAACTACACTCCCTTGTCCTTAAGGAAAGGCTCTTTGATTTAGACTCACTCCGTTTAGTGCCTACATATCCCTTTATCTTAGTAGTTTTATTACGCTGGGTATAAAACCAGGAATAAAGGGAAAAAGGCCATCCAAAGGGCCATGTACAACATTTTTATTTAAGCATAAGTGAAGGAAACATTGAGCTTCGATTGTGAAGCTAGCAAGAGCCACACTGATCTTTTACATTGAATTTTCTGAAAACTAATGCCGTTTTCCACTCCCCATTAAACATAGGTACGTGAACAAATTATGTTCTTTGTTCAAGTTTTTGGTCTTGTTTGATAAGAAAAGGAAACTTTGGTCCAAGAAAGGAGCATTATTTTACTGGACCCAACAGCCAGTAAACTCCAACCACCACAACCAGCCAAGACTTTTTAGCTAGAGTGGCAGATACTTGGACTAAATAAGTATGAACAAGAACCTGAATAAGTAGAGAGAGAGAGAGAGAGAGAGAGAGCAGACATCTCCTCGGCCCTCACTCATTTATTTAGCACTAGACTTTATCCCCAATAATGATATACTGATAGCCAGAACGCTCAGAGTCCAAAAAAAGGTCAGATGTTTCCTATATTCACGTGGGCTGCCGGGACAAACCCGTTGTGACAGGCGCTAACTTAGCAAATAGAATAAAATAACACATGATCCCAAGTGACATTCTTTCTTAAGCTAAAGCTGGCCATTATCTCCTAATTAATTAATATTGTTTTAGTGCTTGTCAACATATTTTTATTATTGATTATTTCACTTAGAAGCTACACTTCCAACTAGACTACACATGGAAACAATGACCATTAAGAAGAAAATGGTATGACTGTATAACTAAACATAAAAAAACTTGAGAGAAAGAAGGGTTACCACAAGACTAGAAATGGAGCCCAAGCCAATTGTTAGGAAACGACCCAGGTATGAATCAGCGACGAAAGCACCTAATATAGGGGTGAAATTGGTAGCAGCTTGCCAGAAAAACAGAATATTGGTGCCTTTAGCAACTCCCACGTGATAATATCTGATCAGGTACAGTATCGTGTTGGGAACCAGCCCATAGCTTGCCACCTTCTCAAATGATTCATTGGCTTCATTTCGAAAGAGTGAGAATATCATCATTTAGGTGTTTCAAAATCACCTTGAAAAACCCTTCTAAGTTCTAACACTTGATCAGAACTATTTGATAAGGGTGCTCAGCTTTTTGAACTCAGCAAAAAAGATGGTAAAACCCAGAAACAAAATATTGAAAACTCAAGCAAAAAGCTAAAAGGCATCACCAGAAACATGGTAAAGAACTTCACAAAAACACTTGAGCAACACAATGTACCTATTATGAATGGCATTGTAATAAGGCCACCCTTGTGTCTTTCGGGCATTTCTGGGTTACACATTAATCTTTGATCTGAAGACTCGTCCGTTTTGTTATCTTCCATAGCCGAAGTCTGCTAACTTTGCTCCTCAGAGAAGAGGTGAAAAAAGAACCAAAACTGGAGAAAACAGATGAAATGAAGTTTCAAGTTTTGAAGGTGTCAAGTTGTGGGTTTTTAAACCGAAAAATAGGAAGAGGTGATTGCATGTAATATCTGATAAATATATCAAAAAGGGCACCTTAACCTAAAATATTAAATAAATAAATAAATATAAGGTAAATAAATAATTGACGAATAGACATACCATGATCCATACGCCTTTTCTTGCTCGTTACATCAATCTTCAGCTTTATCTTTATTTATTTATTTATTTTAAATAAATTCACTTTTTTGCTATAAATATAGTATACAAATTATGATGACAGGGATATGGTGCAGCATGTTTCACTGTAACAAGATGATCCACCGGTTCTTTCTCTCTACTCGCTCCAATCACATGTCAGTATAACTGTTAGATTTGATAATTCGGCGTAACTTGTTATACTTGACATTGTTTTTTTATGCAAAT